GTGCCACGGGCACTAACTACCCCAGTGTCCTCAGAGTGGGTGTCATTTCTTTCCCTCCATCCATGGCAGTCTGTGAAGGCCTTCTAGGCTACCTCTGTGACCTGGTCCCCTGCACCCTGAGGTGCTGAGACAGGCCAGCTCTCTGCTGAAGTTCAAGGATGACACCCTTTTCCTACTTTGCCACCTTCTCCTCAATTCCAGCCTTTGCAGGGATTTGGGTGCAGGCATTCTGTTCATTTTCCACAATGCCCCTCCCAAACTCAGAGCTACTCATCAAAGAGGGCTAGATTACCAACTGCAAGCTGGGGCTTTTTGGATTACACATTTCAGCCATCAAAACTCTGGCCAGGTTTTAAAATCTTGTCAGGTGTGTGTGCCCTTAGGCGTGGGAAACAGCTGAGCACCAAGGGCATGAGCTCCTCACTGTTCTGGAGAGATGCTGATTGCAGAAGCTGGAATGTAAACAAGAGCCCTCAAGCTGATGAAGGGCGCCTGCTCTGACATTTCCTTCCTGTCAGACACGTTTTTCTCCAGAGAGCTCTCAGCCTCCACAGTCCTCATCAGTACGGTCCTGACAGCCCCGTGGGGCTTCAGAAGTGACAGGAGGTGTCTAAATCCTTGCGGCATAGACACTGCAGTGGCACAGCTTGTTTAAAACTGCCCCGAAAAAGGACTCAGAGAGACTGCAGAGAACAGGGAGAAAGCGCAATCGGGGCATCTTCATTCTGACCTGAGCCACCTGCTACCCAGCCACAAAGGCCAGGCAGGCAAAGGCCAAACAACATGGATGCCATGTGTGACACACCCCTGGTTGTGTTTGTGAAGGAGTTTCTGGTCTGGGTTAAATGAAGTAGGAAGACTCCCCCTAAATGCAGGCAGCACCATTCTGTGGGCTAAGAGTCTGGAGTGAGAAGGTGGGCTGAGCGCCAGCATTCATCTTACTCTGTGTCCTGACTACAGAGGCATATATTCCTTATATCCCTTTACCACGGTTTCCCTGCCATGATGGACCAGACCACCTCAAAACATGAGCCAAGATAAGTACGTGCTTATGGACTTTTTGTAAGAATCTACTCACAACAAAGTAAACAGTACAACATCCTAACACCTTGGTAGCCATTGAAAAAATAATGTACATAGAAGGAGAAAAATATTTTTCATTCCCTAGTAGGATGTGTACAGCTCGAACCCAAGGCAATTTAAAAAAAAAACATTTAGTGTATGTGTCTCTGTGTTTGCATGTTGTCTGTGTGTGTGTCTACATATATGCCATTATGCCATGGCATGTGTGTGGTCAGAGGAAAGATTTCAGGAGTATGTTCTTTCCTTCTACCGTGTGGGTTCCAGGGATGGAACTTCGGTCATCAGGCTTGGCAGCAAGCAACTTTACCTGCTGAGCCATCCAACAGCCCCCCATCCCCCGCACAAATTTTCTGAGCTTCAAGTCAGAGTAACCTTACCCACCTGCTGCTCCATGATGGACTTACATCAAGTCATCCCAGACCATCTGCTTCAGAGGTGACATCATGGAAAAGACCTGTGGCCTAATGTTAAAGGTAAGGAGTCCTGAGACTGTAGCTTAACATTTTCCAGATCTGGAAAGGACCTGAGCACCCTGTAAGTTTACACTGTATAAACTGACTATATGACCACTCCATGGTATGGTTAAGTGGAAGGTTTGTATGGTAAACATAGGAGAGAGAACAGCCAACGGCATCTGGCAGAGTCCAGAGCAGAGAGAAAGCAGCAGTAGACTGAACATGACATTAGAGAAACAGGAAAGAAGAAGAGCAAAGGGAGGAACACAAAGAGAAGGAGAACTTAGGAAAGCAAAGAGAGGGGAAGGAGGGAGACAGAGAGAGACAGATGGAGTGCACAGCCAAAATAGCAGGGTTATAAGGAGACTGAACAGCTGGGAGAAGGGAAGCCTGTGAGCTGGAAAAGTTTAGGGTGGAGGGGAGGTGAGAAGAGCTAGACACTGGTGATACTGAGGGAGCCCGGAGGCCAGCATGCACTTTGGTATGTTAAGAGGCACCACAGCCATTTGTCCCTTTTGCCTTTGGGGATTTGGGGAGTGGGGTTTCCTTTGGACCTGATAGCACAGAACACAGAGATGCCTCCTGCCTATGTGGGGACACAGCCACACCCAGGTAGAGGGTGAGCAGATGAGCACTGATGAGGGAAGCCTCCTGGGGAGCAGATGTGCTGGCGGCGTGTGGACAGTAATGGGGTGAGCAGCCAGCAAAGCTTACTCACCATGTGAGACAGGGTCTGCGGAAGGGAAGAACAGAGAACATCCAAGGGCCGTGCAGCCTGCAGCAGCTGTTGAAGGTAGAGTGACTTCAGTAATGTATTTTTGGATGGTAGGGTTGCCAAGAGATAATCAAAGGAAAGCATCCTAAACGCTGAAGGTTGAGAGACCCATCTCACAGCATGCTCGCTGTGCTCTCGGATGCACTCCAGCCATTCCCGCCTGAGCGGGAAGTGCGAGACGGGCAATTAGCCGTCAGACAGTAGGGAGAGACACAAGCACAGGAAGGAGTGACATGAGTGTCCTCAGCAGGCAGGGGCTGCACGCCTGGGAAGTGCAAGGCAATTAGCAGGGGAATGCTAAGAGGAGCTCCACCAGCAGTCATGACACTGGCTTTCAAGAGACTGGGGGTGGCGGGAGGACTTCTCTGTGCATGAACAATACTCCTGGCTGTTAATTACATTAGAAATGAGATTTGTGCTTTTCTAGCATGTATAAAACACCGAGTGCACTCCCCAGCACACCCACACTATCAGGCCATTTTGTGCAGTGTGACAGGCGACCGCCATTTAGGGGGTTCTTTCCATACCTGTTGTGATCCTGGGGGTTGAACCAGGACCTCATGTACCAGGCAAGAACTCTACAGCTGGGCTCTATCCCCAGCCTTCTCCCGATCCCGGCCACAAACAGGGTTTCTTTGTGTGTATCCCTGGCTGTCCTGGAACTTCTTTGTAGACCAGGCTAGCCTTGAACCCACAGATCCTCCTGCCTCTGCCTCACAAGTGCTGGGGTTAAGGGCATGCACCAGCATGCCTAGTCCCAGCCCTTTTTTTATTTTGAGACTAAATTCTCACTAAGTTGCTCAGGCTAGCCTTGAACTTGAAATCCTCCTGCCTCAGGCTTGTGCCACCAGGCCCAGAACAGGTAAATTCATTTTTAAAAATGATTTTATTTCACAGTTAAGGAGGCTGGGAAGTCCCATATAGATAGGCCACATGTGACAGGTAAGGGGCAGATGTATCTCCTAAGGAGGGCATACATGTCAGTGAAGGTTTCTCTTCTTTTAAAAAGCCACAGATATGGGTGTAGAGAGATGACTCCGCAGTTAAGAACACTAGTTGCTCTTTTGGAGGACCAGAATTCGGTTCCCAGCACCCACATCAGACAGCTCACAACCACCTGTAACTGTAGCTACCAGGGGAAGGCATAGCTTCTGGCCTCCTCTGGCACCTGGCATACCAAACCATCATGACCAAGGGTTTATTTGGGGTGTGGGGTTCTAGAGGGATGAGTCCACCACCATCACAATGGGCAAGTGTGGCAGCAAGCACGAGGCATGACAGCAGAAACGGCTGAGAGCACACATCTTGAACTGCAAGTAGGAAGCAGAGGGGCTAAGTTAGGGTTATATTGCTGTGAAGAGGCACTGTGACCATGGCAAGTCTTATAGAGAAAAACATTTAATTGGGGCTGGCTTACAGTTCAGAGGTCTAGCCCATTATCATCATGGTAGGAAACACGGTGGCATCTCACTGAAGCTGCTAAATACGTAATTTTAAAAGAGAAAAAAAAAAAAAATCAAAGCCACTAATAGGCTGGGGATGTGGCTAGCTGGTAGCCTGCTTACTGGCAGGCACAAAGCCCTGTCCAGTCCTCACTGGGCATAGTGGTGCGCACCTATAACCTAACACTCGGGAGGCTGAGGCAGTTTTCTAAATCCAAGGTCCCAAGCTGAGACCCTCTATAAGAATGAGCCATGTTTGGTGGTACAGGCCTGTAGTTTTAACTACTCTGGAAGCTGAGGCAGGAGTGTAATAACTTCAAAGGACTGGGTAGGCTACTGAAAGTTTAAGGCTGGCCTGAGCAATTTAGCAAGACTGCCAAATTGTCAAAGGAGGAGGCTGGGGACATAGGAATGTTGGTGCCTGTAATACCAGCACTGGGGAGGTGGGGACAGGGAGGTAACTAGGGCTTGCTAACCAAACAGTCTAGCTGAATTGGTTAGCTCTGGAGCCAAAGCCAAAAACAAGGTGGTGGGATGTGTTCACATATGCCTTTTAATCCTAGGACTTGGGAGCAAAAGCAGGTAATCTGTAAATTTGAGGCCAGCTTCAAATTGATAGTGAAATCCTGGTTAGCTAGGGCTGGCCATAGCAACACCGTATCTCATAATAAGGTGGAGAGCAACTGAAGACACCACACACCTCACACAGGAATGAGAACACATACAGGAACATGTACACAAGACAAAAACATACACAAAACTAGGCACAGCTGTTTCCACCTATCATCCTGGCACTGGGGCAGTAGGGACAGGCACAATATTGGGGCTTGGCTTGCTCTGTCAGCTCCAGATCTCTCTCTTTGTTTTCAAGATAGGGTTTCTCTGTGTAGCCTTGGCTATCCTGGACTCACTTTGTAGAACAGGCTGGCCTTGAACTCACAGAGATCTGCCTGCCTCTGTCCCCCTAAGTGCTGGGAGATACTCTTTCAAACAAAACAAGATGTGGGGCTTCAGAGATGAACAATGGCTGATTACCTGCTGCTCTTACAGATACATCAGTTCCCAGAACCCACAAGGACAGCTCCTATGGATCCAAGACCCCTCTGGCCTTGAAGGGTGCCAGCACACATCTACACAAACACGTAAGTAAAAAACATGGTGATTTTAGGATGTATTTCAACTTACTGTAATATGCAATGCACCCATTCCATCAGACAAGAGTAGACTGGCCAACTGTATTATGCATCCACTTCCAAAAAGCAATTTTATTATGAATCTCACACCCTTCAAATACAGACAAGGTTGCAACAGTGTCATGGCACTCTCCACTTGATATCCTTAGTGGTGTATTATCCTTGTGCTTGAGCGTGACTACACTGGACTTCCTATAAAACACATCAGGAGAGCTGGCTTCTGGACAATGTTCACACCAAGCTAGCACTGAGAGGCCTTTGCTCTCTATGGAACAACTTTCAAAAGTTGTCAGTCAATGGAAAAGGGACCACTGGGGACATGGTTGATGGATGGTTATGTATGAAAATGTAATGAAACCCATTATGTATAAAACATGCTAATCAAATTTTGACAGGGTTTCTCTGTGTAGCCTTGGTTGTCCTAAACTCACTTTGGTGTTGTAGTCCAGGCTGGCCTCAAACTCACAGCAATCTGCTTGCCTCTGCCTCCCTACGTGCAGGGATTAAAAGCATGTGCCACCAGCGCCAGCTAATGAAATGTTTTAAAGGTGGAGAACTGAGAAAGGCTGGCAATCTCTCCAGCCTACACACACAGTGCAGGCTGACACACACAGCTCAGTAGGCAGAGTGCTTGCCCACCATGTTAGAGAAGATATTCATTCTCCAGTAAACACACAAAAAACAGTGTCAGAAGCTCTAGTTTTGTGACATGGTTTCAGGTCTCAAACTAGTCTCAAACTTGCCACACAGCCTAGGCTGACCTGGAACCCCCAACCCTCCTGTTTCTGCCTCCTAAACCCTGAAATTATAGGTTCTGTGCTACCATTGCTGGTCCTAATACAGGGTTGTGTTTATGCTCATGTGTGCAGCTGTCGCAGAAGACAACAGATACTGGTGTCCTGCTCTGTCACTCTCCGCCCAGGCTCTCACCATTGAACCCAGAGCTGAGAATTTTGGCCAGGATGGATATCCTGCAAGCCCCAGCAATTCTGCTGTTTTTATACTGCAAAGCATTGGAATTCTGAGCAAGCCTTGGCCATGCCCACCTTGTTCATGCTTCTGGGGTTCTGAACACAGGTCAGGTCCTCAAGCTGATGAAGTAAGTACTCTTACCCACTGGGCCATTTCCCCATCCTCACACAAGACTTTGAGCTGGCCTCACTGCACAGATTTCACACCAAGCCAGCAGAGATGGATCATCCTAGCCTCACTCAGGCCCACCACCCTGCTCCCGCCAAGACACACGTGTGCCTCTGGAGCATACTCTTGGCATGTGCCGCTATCACAGCGAGGTCTGCAGAGCTGGATGGAGAGCACATGAACTGCAGCTGTCACTGGTTCTCAGGGGTGACTCCATCTGCCCTGGAGCAGATGGCCCAGCTTCTCACTCCTAAGAAACTTAGTCAGCTCAGGTGACAGCACTGTCTCAGCATCCCTGTCATTCCTAACCTCTCTAGAGTCAGGCTGCACAATTTTCCATTGCTTAAGGGCAATGTGAGGGTTTGCATGATAACAAGGTGACCAGCCCATTCCTTTAAGAATGACTTTCTTAATTTCTCGTGTTGTATAGTAAGGGAAACTCACCTTTTTGTGTGTGTGGCATTCCTGTGTATTTTTATTATAAAAATAAAAAAACAATAATTTCAAATGTGTTTTAAATTTATACAGTATTTTTAAGGAAAATAGCCAAAAGAAATCTACTAGGAATATATTTATGCATCTTGGTTTTTAAAGGTCTCAGCTGTTCCTACAACATGATCCAGAGGCGAACGTCACCTGGGTACAGGCTCTGCCCACCCAAAGCCAGCCTCAGGTCCCACATGGCCATCTCATATCTGATGCACACAGAGGCACAGGGCAGGTGCAGGGCCAAGAGTCTCGCACTGTGTACACTGGAAGGAAAAAGAATATTCTGGAACTGTTAAGCCAAACCTACTGACCAGTGTCTCTCCGATTCCTACTAAAATCAAGCTGGAGTATTTTGGGCAACAAAACAAGCAGAACCATGAGACCCAAGAGGCACAAACACTGTAGTCTCACAGCTGTGGGGCTCACAATTTCCCTGTCATTACTCAAGCACTTGTCACTGAGCTGAGTCACAGGTCACCATCGTGTATTCCATGCACAGCAGGGTAAAGAAACAGGCACTTCCTCGGCTCTGAATGTGCAGCAATTACTCCGCTCAGTCTGCAGACTGCTTCGCTCCTTCCCTTGCCAGTCTGTCAGCTTCTTCATTGCCCACAAATCCTGAGTGACCAGGAATGTGCATCTGTTAAAATGAAAAATCCCCTTTAATTTTTCCTGGCGTTTACACATGCAGCACATGGCTGTATTCCACACCCAGAAGCTCCTGTTTCAGAAGAAACTGAGGCCAAAGCTCATGTTCACAAACCCCTCCCTGAACAGGATAACACATACTGGGGCTGGAGCCACTGCTCAGCTAACAGAGTAAGTCTGGGGCTCAATTCTCAATGCCACATAAGCTGAGTGAGGGGTTGCGTGCTTACAATCCCAACACTGGGAGGATCAGTGACTCAAGATTATCCTTGCTACATAGCACATTTGGGCTACATGACACCCTGCCCTCAACCAACCAACCAACCAATCATACTATTCAAGATAACAAACTTATAGCTGGGTGTAGTGCATGCCTTTGATCCCCGGCATTTGGGAGGAAGAGGCAGGCAGATCTCTTAGTTTGAGGCCAGCCTTGTCCACAAAGCGAATCCAGGACAGCCAAAGCTACATAGAGAAACTCTTGTCTTGAAAAAACAAAAACAAAACATAAAAAAGAAATCCGCTGAAGCCCCCAAAACAGTAAGTGCTATTTTACTTCAAGAAATAGCTCTTGGCTGGCCACCAGAACTGGATGGTAAGACCCCAGTTGCTGAAGACAATACACACCTTGGCTGCAGGACACAGAGAAATCAACCTGAAACTGACCTAGAAGCTCCCTCCCTGCTCGTTAGCTTTCATGGCATTGGAAGGTGCTATGTAGGCTGCTGGGAAGCAAAGTCTTATCAGCTGTGAATATGGCATAATACCAACCCAAAAGTCAAGACGAGCCCACTGGACACGTGACATGTCTCATTTGGTGGTAACCACCCACCTTCTGACTGGAGTCACAGCCTACCCCACAGGAGGAATTTACATAGTTTCTGTAAACCCATGGAAAGCCTGTGCTGGGCAGTCACAGGCCCTAGTTGGAGAGCTACTGTTGTTTTGCTAAATGTTTATATTTTTAATGTAGTCAAAAGGCATTTTTCAGTGGATAGCAGTTACTGCAGACTCATAACTGGTCTGAGATAAGTAAGTGACTGTGGAGTGCTCAGCCATAAATGGGACTAGTATTTCACCCTCTCCGAGGCTCAGGGTACATCATGGAAGAGGCAAGAGAGTAAGCACTAGAGAAGGGAGTAGTTTTATAGAATGCCATCTTCCAGCGAGACATGGCTACTGTACTCGTAAACACAGTGAAACTGTAATTATCAGCAAAGGACCTGCACTGGACTGGACCAGGCAACATATGGGGGAGGGTGCATAAGGTTCTGCCCTCCTTGGGCTTTTACAGGCAGTTAATAGTTGAGGAGGAAGGAAGAGACACTTTCTTCAGGGTGTAGACACTTCAGTCAAATGAGGAGGGAAAGGGGCGGGGTACAGCCGAAACCACAATGTACATGTACAAAGATGTCATAATGAAACCTATTCTTGTGTATAATGAATACATGCTAACAAATATATACATTAACTTCACAGAAGCTGCTACTTTCCCCTAACCACCAAAGCCCTCCCAAACGCCATGTTTCAGCTAAGTGAGGCCACACAGTGTGAAGTGACTCACCCACTGGATGTCCATGCCCTGGGTGAGCTCATCCAGCTCCATGAAGTCCTCCTTGTTGATTACTTCTTTGCCTGTGCTCGTTCTCCAGCCATTCTTCTTCCAGCCCTGGACCCAGTTAGTTATCCCTAGGGAAACACATACTCACAGGCTCATTTATCAGGGCCTGGCCTTTCCTGACCCATAGTCTCTCCTCACAATTGCTCCTCTCATTCTGAGTCAAAGCTTGGATTGTTATCTTCTTTGATGCCCTCTCTTGCTTAAGCCTTTAGCACACTCCCAAGGCCCCAATCTTTCCTCTTTCTGGTAGTTACATCCAGTCAAATGAGCATGAGGCTTCCCTGACCCCATGCGCTTCTGTGCAGCCAGTCCTAGTCGCTAAGATAGCATACTGTGACCTGAAGTTACACTCTGACCCAGGTATTATGGAGTGAAGGAACCCAGCTCCCTAAGACAGCATACTGTGGCCCTAAGTTACTCATGTTCTGACCCAGGTATTATGGAGCCATGGAGTCCAGCTCCCTAAAACAGCATATTATGGCCCTAAGTTATTCACATCCTAACCCAGTATTATGGAGCCAAGGAGTCCAGCTCCCGAAGACAGCAGATCTAGACTCCTATTCCCCTGAACCTGGAGAGCACAGTGTCATCCAAGACTGTCACACTACCCCCTACTGGGAAGAAAGGCCCCTTTCCCTTCACAGTGCCTGGGAAAGCTTACCATTGATGGTGAACATGCTGTCTGTGTACAGGACCAGCTTGCTGATGTTCTGAGCCTTGGCTTGTGTGATGGCTTTGCAGGCTGCCTTGAGAAAGCAAGCCCATAGTCATGCTATATGGAAAATGCTTGATGTTTTGCAGTACTGATCAAGTTTTGCAAGAGCAAAGCACTGCTCTGTCTAAACCACCATGGTGTCTTCTCTCACCAAGTTTACCCTTCTCAACATCCCATTGGCCATGGCACCTATGTGAAGTGATTCCAGGATTTTTCTAAAGAATTACTATCTTTGAAGACTGTTGCTAGCCTGAAAGTTTCTTGTGGACTTTCTTTTTTGTTTGTTTGTTTGAGACAGTTTCTCTATGTAGCCCTAGCTGACCTGGACTTGTTTTGTAGACCAGGCTGGCCTCGAACTCACAGAGATCTGCCTACCTCTGTCTCTGCCTTCCTGGATGTTGGGATTACAGGCTACAGGTGTGGTGATACCTGGCTTTCTTGTGGACTTTCACTATCTTCTATCTAATGCAGGAAAGGAAGGAAACATGGCTGATCTTGTGGTCACACAAGGGAAGGCAGACTCACACTTATCTGGGAACTTACATGGATCTCGGCCCTCTGGTTTGTCTGTCGCCCAGGAAGTCTAACACCTACATTTCTGTTTCAAAACAGGATGAAAAAGGAAAACAAAATTACAATGCTAATTTCCAGAGCAATTCTTCTCAATGGATAATAACAAACTAGTGTCCCCTTTCAACTGAAACATAAAACCTATATACAAACAACAGCCTCAAAAACCATGCCCCGAATGGGACACAGCTGCCTATAATCCCAGCACTCGGGGAGGCACAGACAGGCAGACCGCTGAGTTCTGGGCCAATCAAAGCCACATAATGAGACGCTGTCTCAAAAACAAGTTTAGTGACGGGATGGATTTGAGCTGATGCCCTGTCCCTCCATCACTGTAGGCTGGCTCTTCTACCTGTATGTCTTGTAACTTCTTAGAGCTAAACCCAAGGAAACACCACCAAGTCTCAGTATTTGGCACAGTCAAGAACTAAGCTGCTTGGCACCAATATAAATCAAAGTCAGTTGCTCTTCTTCTATTTCCCACCAATACTGTTTACCTGCCAGGTTTTGCAAAGAACATATCAAAAAGCAGTAAAGAATATATCATAACCAAATCCTGCCAAGACTTAGTAAAATATGATGCTCATAGTCAGCTGTGTTTACTTACAAGGGGTGGCCTGGCCCCCAGTAAACGCCGATTCCTGCTCGTGCCCGCGTCCGCCCATTACTGGAACAGCAGCCATCGGTGTAGACAACGACTGATTCTCCTGTAAGAGGGAAGAGTAAGGCCACTGCACTGACCAGCTGAATGCTGACCCTGTGCTGTAGTCAGGACGTCGATTGCCCCACGGTGTGTGGCCACTTTTTGCTTGTTCCAAAGGCCAGGTGAGTTAAAGGTAACTTGTCACTCAAGCTAAAGAGGGCCTTTGTGCCTAGGCTACCTTCACTCAAGCTGTCCTTCCAGAGTAAGCAGTACTTAGTGTGAAGCTGGCCCCACATCCCAGAAAGCCAACTTTGACGGCAAGTAATCTCATTCTCTCTTACCCCATTTGCACTAACTGTAGAGTAGTTCTCACCTCTGCTTCCTCCTTTCAAACAGGGTGTGCTCAAGTGCAGGGGCAGAGCCGAGGCCACTGTCAGGCCCATATTTGGCCAGCAGCATGCCCTCAGCACAATGCAGGGAGAGGCTAAGAAGCAAAGTCCATGGGATGGAAAAGGGAGGTTCAGAGACCACCTGCATACAAGGAACTGTCCAGAAGACAGTGGCCTGAGCACAGCAGGCTCAGGGGAAACATGAAGACTAGTATCCCTCAAAAAAGCAAGGTTGGGGACATTTGAGCACAGAAGCTGGGCAGGCCTCCTGTCAGCTGAAACTTGGTTTCCACCCACACACCTTCAAAGAAGGTTTAGTTGTTTATTACATGCTGTGTGCTAAGCAATACCTCAAATGCTGGAAATGGCTCATCCCTCTATCACATTACAAAGGTTTGCTTATGTTCCTGTTGATGAGTGCCCCAGTTACAAAACACTGTGACCAAAAGCAACTTGGGGAGGAAAGGGTTTATCTGACTTACACTTCCACATTAGTCCATCACTGAAAAAGTCAAGACAGCAGCTCAAACAGAGCAGGAACCTGAGGGCAGGAGCTGAGACAGAGGCCATGGAGGGGTGCTGCTTACTAGTTTGCTCCCTGTGGCTTGCTCAACCTGTTTTCTTATAGAACTCAGGACCACCATCTAGGATGACACCATGATGACAGTGGGCGGGCCCTTCCCTATGAGTCACTGATTAAGAAATGCCCTAAGCAGGCCTTGGTGTCACATGCCTATGATCCCAGCATTCAGGGAAGCAGAGTCAGGTGGATCTCTGTGAGTTCAAGACCAGCCTGGTCTACAAAGTGAGTCCAGGACAGCCAAAGCTAAACAGGGAAAACTTGTCTCAGAAAATTAAAAAAAGAAAGAAAGAAAGAAAGAGACAGAGAGAGAGAAGGAAGAAAGAAAGAAAGAAAGAAAGAAAGAAAGAAAGAAAGAAAGAAAGAAAGAAAGAAAGAAAGAAAGAAAGAAAGAAAGAAAGAAAGAAAGAAAGAGACAGAGAGAGAGAAGAAAGAAAGAAAGAAAGAAAGAAAGAAAGAAAGAAAGAAAGAGAAGAAAGAAAAAGAGGACAGAAAAGTTAAAAGAAAATGCCCTACAGGTCACCTATAGCCAGATCTTACAGATCTCATTTTCTCAACTGAGGTTCCCTTGTCCCAGGTAGCTTGTGTCAAGTTGACATACAACTATCCAGCACAATGATCAGTGAAAGGATACTTGCTCATCTTAGATAACTGCCAAACCCATCTGCTTACACAGCTCTATAGCTCTAGCGCTTTCCCGGGAGGTAAAGTACAGATGCCTTCTTCTTGGCAAAAATCTCAGGCCATCTCAATGATGATTCATCTTTACATGCTGCCTCTTTTCTGGTCCCATGTGTACAAGACAAAAAAGTAAGTTTATATACTATAGTTACTAAAAGCAAACAGCTGCCCTGAGAGTTAAACACAGGAAAAGCCCTAGATCTCTTTTCCTCAGGACACAGTGAGGTCTGAGGGGTGGATGAATGGACACATGCTTGCTAAAGCAGGTAGCTCTGGCTGGGCCCTCCCTCCCACCTCAGCAGCCTGTGTCTATATAAAAGTTCCCTAACAATTCTCAAAAGCTTACTGCTTTTGCACTATTTGATTAGCTATAAAATAGTGGCCTCATTGCCAGGCCTGGTTGTGAAGGACCGGGATGGCTATGAGGCTAATACAGAAGGATGGCAAGTTCAAGGTTAGCCTGGGCCTCAAAGCAAGGAGCTCACTGCCTCCCTGGATGAGTAAGAGAGGCCTTGCTGCAAAATAACAAGTAAAAAGAGGGTGGGAGGGGCTGGTGAGATGGCTCAGAGGTTAAGAGCACTTGCTGTTCTTCCAAAAGTCCTGAGTTCAATTCCCAGCAACCACATGGTAGCTCACAACCATCTATACTGTGATCTGGTGCCCTCTTTCTGGCTTACAGGCACACATGCAGGCAGAGTACTATATACTGTATAAATAATAAATAAATAAATCTTAAAAAAAAAAAAAAAAAGAGTGTGGGACCACATCAATAAGAGCACCGGCCTAGGAAGGCAAAGGCACTTTTTGTTAATACCTTTTCTTAAAAGCACTTTTTGTTAAAAAAGAATATTTACAAGGAAAAAATGGGGCTAAAGATATGTTTAGTTTAAATACTAGGAATGGCTGCCCACACCCATAATTTCAGGACTGGGAGGTAGGGGCAAAAGGATCTCTGAGTTCCAGGCCAGCAGCCCTGGCTACATAATGAAAGCCTGTCTCAAAAAACAAACAAACAGAACAAACAAAAAAAACCTACCATCACCAAAACAATGAGCTTAAATTCCTCCCCTTTAGAAAGAAAAAGATTTCCTACTTACTGTTTTAATTTCTCATATGTGTAACAAAAATAGTTTGAGGTATACAAAGTGGGTTCCAGGATAGCCAGGACTACAGAGAGAAACCCTGTCTTGAACAACACCCCTGCCACACACAGAGACACACAAAAGGAAAGGCATACCCATGTAGGCAAATGTGTCCCTGCTCACTGGGGTATCCTGCTCTGTGTTCTGCTTTACGTGCTTTCCCCCTGGCTCTGGAGGTTCTTCCCCATCATCTAGAAGCTCCCGAGGCCGCTTGCTGGTCTTCACCTGTGATTCCTGCACATCTGCATTTTCCTGCCCTGAAAGAAGATTCCAACCATGACCCAAAACCAGAGAGTGCATGAATACTGAAGAGCCAAAGACTCTGCGAGAGTTTTTAACATTACTCCACCAGACTAAGGCACTCCAGATGTGGCCCTACCAAGAAGGAATGACTGAAGACCATCCCTGGTGCCTAGCAGGAGCTGCAGAGAGTCCAAGACTCCCACTGAAAATAACAGTAACAGATGGGTAAATAAATAAAAGTTCTTGGAACCCAATTTTCCCAAGGGAGATGCCAGTGTATATGTGTGTGTTCCAGTAATTATATGTATGTCCCATGTTCTAAATTAGAGTCAGCTTGCTGATTTGAGTCCTAGAACTGAGAATATTGCAACTGCGGGGACCACTATTCATTAATTTAGTTTACAGGATCCTGCTATGTAGGCCAGGTTTGGAACTGGCTGTCATTCATGCCTCAAATTCCCAATCCTAGTTACCACATACCTGGTCAAACCACACTATTCTTTTTAAAATTATTTTTAAAAGATTTGTGTGTATGTATACGTTCAGGAGATTGTAAGTCATGGTGCTAAGAATCAAACCCTGATCCCTGGGATGTCTCTTTAGCCTCTGAACCACTATTCTTTTTTTTTTTTTTTTTTTTTTAAGATTTATTTATTATATATAGTGTTCTGACTTCATGTACACCTGAATGCTAGAAGAGGGCACCAGATCTCACTATAAATGGTTGTGAGCCACCATGTGGTTGCTGGGAATTGAACTTAGGACCCCTGGAAGAGCAGATAGCGCTCTTAACCTCCGAGCCATCTCTCCAGTCCTGAACCACTATTCTTAACTCTAAGGATACAGGAAAAATAAGAATCACTTCAGATGCAGAGGTAGATACAGTGATGTCGGGAATGCAAGGGGCTTTTCATAGGTTAGAATGTTACCCTGCTGTTAAGTGACATACCTTTTGAACCATCTGGGCTTGAAGAGTTCCTAACAAAGGCCCAGGCCTCCTCCTCTGTGGCAAATTTCTTAAACCTGGCAGCAGGAAACCGGTTCACTTGCGCTCTGCACTCACTCCTGAAAGAGTGCGTATGTTAGCGCAGGCTTCCTTTCAGTTTGTACTCTTGTAATTTTTTTCAAACTTAATTTTATTTTTACTATTATAACTCATCTGCTTATCAGTGCCATGTTTTACAAGTTTTAGGTTCACATCAAATAAGAACAGAAAGTGGAGAGTTCTCTTAAGTTCTGGCTCCAGTGTCCACTGTTTACATCAAGGCTCACTCAGAACTGTAAAGCCTACAGTTTCAGTGAATATATAAAGAGAGTGATATGGGTCTACATTACTACACCATCCACAACTTCATGCCTTAGAAATCCCCTGTTGGAGCTGGGGGTGGGGGTGCACGCCTATAATCCCACATTCTAGGGAGGCAGAAGCAGGAGGATCACCTCAAGTTCAATGCCACCCGAATCTATATACAGGTTCTAGGCCAGCCAGTATCTCATAGAAGCTCAGTCTCAAAAACATTTTGGTTTGGGAGCACACACCTGTGATCCCAGTACTTGAGACACAGAGACAAAAGGTCTGAAGTTCAAGGTCATTTTGATTTATAGCTAGTTCAGCTAAAGGTCAGCCCAAGATACACAAGACCCTGTCTGCTCTCATAGTCATCATCGCTCCTTGGGCACTAACCTCTAACAATCATTGACTTGTTTTGCAATCTCCGTATTTGTTCCAGGATGTCATACAGCTGGAATCACACACTTGATTGTGAATGAAATGCAGATCATTTCAAGTTGGCTTTTTCTTTTAGCACAATATAGTTAGTACTCCTCCACACTATTCATCTTTGATAACTCATTTCAGGTCTGCATGATACTCCATTAGCTTATCAACACACTTCCTACTGGAAATTTGGCTTCCAAGTTTTGTCAGTTATGAATTAAATCTCCATACATGGTTAAGTGCAGCTTTTTGGGAGGGCCCACAGCTTCCAACATTTTTATTTCAATAAACCAGACAGGATTTAACTGACCACAGCAGTGCCTATCTGCAACGCCTGCATTTGATAGTAAAGATAGAAAGAGCAGAAGTTCAATTTGGCACATAACCAGCTCGAGAAAAGAAACCCTGTCGCCAAGAAAATAAAAAAATAAAAACCGGGAAGCCAGGCGTGGTGGCGCACGCCAATGAGTCCAGCTCCTTGGATTACGTGGGGTCCCGTATCAAAAACAAAACACCCACACACAGGGACGATCAGAACATGGGAATCTTTGTGTAAATTCTGGTCTGCAGTGATGATGTGCTCTCTTTGGTAGTCTCTGACTGCCTAAAGGACTAAACAAGCTGTTTGGTGTTTAGAATAAAGGGCTCAGCTGGGCTCCGTCTCACCAACTCAGGAAGACGCCGGTCTTGCGGCCCCTTCTCACCGCATAGAACATCCCTTGCCCGGGAACGCTTCGCCTCACGCGAACGAAGACCAGTGTCACGGTGTGGAACACCGGCAGCAGCCAGCGCATCACTCACGCCACCGGGTCAAACCGCATCTTGGCCCGCGAGCCTTCACTAAGCGACCCGGCACACTTCCGGCGCAGGAAGGTGACGTCCTCCAGGTACCTGCCGCGAGCGGGGCGGGGCCTAGAGCGTGTTTTTGTTTCGTAGAAGTCACTGAAACTTCGGGGCTGGAGGCCGAGGTGCCTTCCAGCTGCAAGCGCCAGGTCCAGTCCCAACACAACAAAACTGCATATGAAGTGGGAAGGCGGGAGAAAGGGAAGAAGGAGTGTAAAGATGACGCCTGGATGTGAAAGCAGAGAGGCCCTGTGAAGCTACACCCCTATTCCAGGATGGCCACTTCTGCAGAACATGGTTCCCCTCGCCTTTTCCAGCATATTCTGAGCCTTGGGATGGCCATAGCAAAAAGAATGAGGAATGTCATGAGTACACAACGTCATTCTGGCCATATAATTAAGGGAATGAAGCAAGTCACTATAGAAAAATCGGGAAATCCCTTTTGAAATCCCAAAACAACGAAAATTAAGAAATACAGTCCTTGAGGGAGTAGCAAGATGGCTTCAAAAGTAAAGGCACTTGCCCCTGAGTTTGACAACTCGAGTTCCATACTCAGGACCCCACACGGTAGCAGGAGAAAACTGATTCCCACAAGTTGTCCTCTGACTTCCGCACATATGCCATGATGCAATATAGGTGTGCACACACACAAATAGATAAATGTTATTTTTAGAATACAAATGTAATTTTTTAATTTAAAAAATGTATGCTGCTTGAGGTTGCATGGATATGCAAAAAGTGCTAAATAGAAATAAAAATTGGGGACGAGCAAATTCCCTGTAATGGTTGCCTTCAGACAGACTCAGTGGGGTTTGTGGAATACAAAGCAATTCTACTCTCTCTTTGCGGTAGAAATCAGTTAATCTGCGCAGGGCGCAGTGGGGCACGCCTGTAATCCCAGCACTTTGGGGGGACAGAGGCAGGCAGATCTCTGTGAGTTCGAGGCTAGCCTGGTCTACAAAGTGAGTCCAGGACAGCCAAGGCTTGCAGCCACTACTCTTTATAAATGAGCCATCTCTCCAGCACTACAAGAATTGTTATTTTTTAAATATTTGAAGCCAGGCTGGGTGTCTCAAACCTATAATCTCAGTATTGTGTAGACTAAGGCAGGAGGATTACTTCAAATTCAAGGCCAGCCTCGGCTACACAGTGAATCATGGCCATGGAGACTGAAGTTAGAGTCTCACATATATTAAGCGCAGGCCTTGCCAGAGGTTCCTCTCAGCCCTTCATTTTATTTTTATGTAGCAAGTATTAATAGATAGCAACTCAAATAAAATTTCAAAGTTCCAAAAATATTCCAAAGTTTAAAGAAGGAGTATGGAGGCAGCCAGCCCTTCAGAAACCAGGTGTGGTGGCACATGCCTGTCATCCCAGGCTAAGAAGGTAGAGGTAAGAGGATCAATAGTGCAAGGTCATTCTTAGCTACATCACAAACTCAGAACCAGCCTGGAGATACCAGAGACATTTTTTTTAAAAATTGAAAAGAATAGGGGGTTTTCCAACCAAATTTTTTTTTTATTTTTTTGACTTTTTTTGTGTTGGTTTGTTTGAGACAAGATTTTTCTGTGTAATTCCTACAGCCCAGCTACAATCAAAAATCTTAGTAACTGCTGGCTTGGGCTAGATGGCTCAAGAGGTAAAGGTGTTTGCTGTGCAAGCCTGGTGTCATTCGTGAACTGGATCTGCAGAACTCACATGAAAGTGTATGGAAAACTGGGTGTGGTATCACACCACAGACCTTTAATCACAGCAATCAGGAGGTAGAGACAGGAGTGTCTCTGTGAGTTCAAGACAATATCTAGCTCCGAGACAGCCAGGACTATATAGGGAAAGCTTGTCTTAAAAAAAGAAAAGAAAAGAAAAGAAAAAAAAAAAGGCTGGAGAGATGGCTCAGTAGATAAGAGGACTGATTGCTCTTCCAAGGGACCCAGGTTCAATTCCCAGCACCCACATGGAAGCTCTGTAATCCAGCTCCAAGGAATTTGATAACCTCACATAGATGTCCATGCAGGCAAAACACCAATGCACATAAAATCATTAAATAAATAAATCATTAAAATGGTTAAGTTTAAAAAAAAAAAAAAGAAAAAGAAAAAAAGTAGATGGAGAGACCTGATTTCACAAAATCATCTTCTGACATCCACAGGAATGCTATGGCACGTGCTCCCACGACAGCACACATTGATTTAAAAAATGCTGACCTTGAAAACAACAAAGTAACTTAATGTAAAAAAGAATCCATTACAACTTTGAATTTATAACTTCAACCTACATTTTCTTGCAAATTACATTTTTCATAAAGACTGATTAACATTTAATGTAATTATTATGTAAAACACTTTAGTATTTCCCAATATGTGTAGTTTTGAAGAAAAACTCCTTGGTGGAGCTAGAAAGATGACTCAGTAGTTAAGAATACTTTCCTTGCCAGGCACTTGCCTTTAATCCCAGCACTCTGGAGGCAGAGGTAGGTGGATCTTTGTGAGCTGGAAGCCAGCCTGATCTGCAGAGTCAGTTCCAGGACAGCCAGGGCTGCACAGAAAAATCCTGTCTCAGAAAGAAACCCAACATCCCCCACACTCACACACAAAAAAGTTTGCCTTGAAAGACGGAGGATTTGAGTTCAGCTTCTCTCACACTTATAACAAGCTGGGCCTGCAGCACATGCCTGTGATCTCATTCAGGGACAAACCCTGACTCAAAGGAAGAGGTAGGAATGAGTTCTGGACCCTGTGGGTGTAGAGAGTGGGCTGAGCATGAGTAAGCAAGCCAGCATGCATTCTATCTCTGTCTTCTTGACTGGAGGTTGTTTCAACTTCCTGCCTTGACTTCCCTGCAATGACTTATTGTAACCTGGAATTTTTGGCTACAATAAATTGTTTCTTCCCTAAATCATTTTCAGTCAGGGTGTTCTATCATGACAACAGAAACAAAACACTGCTTCAGGCCTTCATGAATGGCCTGAACATCACATGTAAGCAGGAACATAGGTTGTACACTCATACACAGACTTACACTCCCTGCAATCATCCCTTTCTGTAGAAAGAATGCATGTGGCTGGCCGTGAGAGCTCCGAGCTATTAGCCTAGCATTTATAAAGTTGATGCAGGAAGTTGTCCTGGGCTACATAGGAAGATTCCATCAGGAACAAAAGGAAACAAAAATAATGAGGTGACCTAGTATCCTGTACATGCTGAGTGTGCAAGCTGGATGTGGTGGTATCCCAGCACTTGGGAGGAGGAGGCAGGCAGATCTCTGTGAGTTTCAGAACAGCCTGGTCTGAATATCTACATAGGGAGTTCTGCAAAAGCCAGAGCTATGCAGACAGATGTCACCCTCCAAACTCCACTCCCAGAGGAGGAGGAGGAGGAGGAGGAGAGGGGGGAGAGGAAGAGGAGGAGGAGGAGGAGGAGGAGGAGGAGGAGGAGGAGGAGGAGGAG